GAGGGAAGCTTTTTTGAAAGAGCGGGAGCGGTGACAGGACCCGGGTATGCCATCACTTCACACTTGGTAGCACATGTTTTCGCCCTTGCTGCACGAGCTGGTCCCACATGCGATTGCACCACTTGGCGTCATCGCGTACCTTTTGGGCCAGGGTTTGCTGCATGTCACGCAGGACTGCAACGTGCTTTTTCACGAGGTCTTCATGGAGCCTCCAGCGCTTGTGGTTCCCCCAGCTTTGGGCGGCTGCCTGTGATAGCGTGGATCGCCCTTCAGTGACAGCTGGTTCAGGCTGTGCAGGACAAGAGGGAGAGGCGGTCAGTCGTCCATGCAGACACTATCCCTGAAGCCGTGCCCTCCTATGTGAGTACGGAGCAACCGTTCTTGGAACAGGGGATAGTGATATCCCGAGAGCAAGGCCATGTGTGGCATGCACAGCAGGCCCTGCCTCATAGGGACTCCAAGGTTCCTAGGGGACCATCCTGCCCACTTTCCAGCCTCCCCTCTGCCCCCCATAGACAAACAGGCCAGGGAAGTGTCCCACCACAGTGGAATCCCATGTGCGAGAGAGGGGCCTGGAGCAGCCTGGCCCTCCTTGTGGCCCGCACATACACCTGCATCTGGCAGCGCTGCCCATGGGAGCAGATGGTGCCTCACGCATGCAGGCATGACCATGTGCTCTGTGCGGCACTCCTTGGTCTGTGTGGGGTCATGCTGCGTGCGCCCTTGTGCCCAGCCTGCTTCCAGCAGTGGCTGGCGGGAGGAGGACATCCCTCCCAGGGGTCAGACGTCTGCGTGGCCTCCCCCCCAGGCTGTGAGCAACAGCCTTTGTGTGTTCAAGGGCTGGCTCCTGATACCACGTGGTGCACACTGCCACTGCACATGCATGGACAGCTGCACGCTGTCCAGGCCAAGCATGCCGAACAACGATTGCATCCCATCCCCTCTGAGCCCGCCTCTCCCGCCCTGTGTGTGTCTGACAAAATGAGAGCACTCACCTGATGATCCCTCCCTGGCCTCAGCCTGGGAGATCTACTGGGCCTGGGGTATCGGCTCCAGGCTGAGGGTGACGATGCTGCCAATGTCCTCCTCTTCCTGCAGCTGTTGTTCCTCGTCGTTGTCCTCCTCAAGGAGCTCTGGCCAGGGGAGCTCTGGTGTCTACACATCCAAGTTCCCCAGGATCTGGTGCAGCTCTTCATAGGGGCAGGAGTGGGGTCCTGCCCCAGAGCGAGAGCTACACTCCTTGGCCTTTGCATAGCCTTAGCATAGCTTCTTGACCTTGCTACATACTTGGTCCAGCGTGCAGGCGTGGTGTCCCCTCTGGGCCAGAGCTTCGGCCATCAGGCCATAAATGTAGGCATTTCACCTCTGGAAGCGGAGATCCTGCATTGTTTCCTCCTCCCCCACAACTCCAGGAGGGACAGGATCTCCGCCCTGGTCCAGGAACGCGCCCAGCATTTGGTGCTCCTGGATGAGTCCTCGGAGTCCTGGTGCTGCCCCCTGTGCGGGCCATGAGGGTTTTGGGGGGCTTGTGGCTGCGTCGTGGGTCAGCAGGCCTTTAACACTCAAGCCACGTGGTCAGGGTGCTATTGCAAGGCTGGCTTCCTGCCACAAGGCTACTCCAGTGTGCCAGTAGCTTTAAGAGCTGGCAAGAGACAGGAACTAGAGCTGTGATTAGTGTGGATGGACTGTCCACCAGGGCACCTGTGCTATTTCCTGGAAACCTCTTCTTTCGAACAAATTCCCTCTTCCACGTCCACACAGGCCTTTTTCTGAAAGAGCTCTTTCGGAAAATGCATTCTTCCTTGTAGAATGAGGTTTACCAATGTTGGAAAAACCCCTGTGTTCTTTCGTTTTTCTTTCAAAAGAATGCAATAGCGGTGTGGACGTTAGTGAAGTTTTTTCGGAAAAACAGCTGTTTTTCCGAAAAAACCCTGTAGTCTAGACGCATCTTGGGATGTGCTGCTGCCACTCATTTGCCCAAAATCACCACTTAGCAAGCCATATAAAACATTAAGTAATAGTTCATAAATCATGTAATCCACAGGGAAGGAAGCAAATTTAGAAAAGCAAAAATAGATTCTCCTTCACCACATATTATTATTGATAGAGAGAGAGATGAGAAGGTTAATATTAATTTATTTCCTTGAGTTTCCATAAAAAGAAAAAATTCTGATATTTTCTCTCCATAAATGTTATATAATACACTGCTTTCTAGGCCTCATATAATCTTTATTTTCTCTTTATCCTCACACATAGATCCACTTTACTACTGCATACTGTATATTATTTTAATTTGCAGTTTTTTAATATTTTCTCCATGGTTACAAGAACACAAAATTGCATGGAAACAACACTCATGGTAGGATCACACATCAAGGCCAAAGAATATCAGTAATAATGACAAGACAGATCTCGTAGGTTTCTCTCATAGTGTTTTATGTAAGAGTAGTAATGGAATGTCAGCTCGTCCTCAGGCAAGAAACTTGGTCTTACAATATATATTTACATAGTTAATATTAATAACAATTTAAACTTGCATATTAATGTCAAGCAGGTTTTTAAAAAAACCTTCTTTTGCTCATGAAGACTTCAGCTCTGATCTTGACACAAACCACAATTAAACTTGGATATTAAACCTTGAAGCTATGTCTACACTGCCCCCATTTTGCACAAAAATATGCAAATGAGGCAAAGTGTGGAATATTGCCACAACTCATTTGCATAATTGTGCAATATTCCACGCTTTGCCTCATTTCCATATTTTTTACGCAAAATGGGGGCAGTGTAGACATAGCCTGAGAGTTCTAATATACTCTTGATCCACTTGACAGCTATGCACCTCCTCCATGAACATGAATCCTGGGCTATATTATACAGCATATGTCAACCTAAATCTGTAAGCATGTATACTAACAAGTAGCTCCCACCAATGTAACTTACCCATTACACCAACGTAATAATTTCTAAGTCAATGTAGTTAGGTTGACTCAGTTGCTTACAAAAAATATTGCTGCCTTTAAGAAACTGTTGCACAATGCTCCACCGTTGCAGTTAAGTTGGTTCGAGAACTGGTGAGGACATGCATCGACACAAGGAACATACAATGGTTGTGTAAATCCAGTACAAGAAGTCCCCAAAATACAAATGGATTGTGTTCCAAAAGTTCATTTGTAAGTTGTTGTTTGGAACACGGAACACATATTCCCACAGAAACAATGATATAAACAGTAGGTTGGTTCCTAGACTGGCCCACAAAAGCCTATTTAAGCCATCATGTAACTGAAATACTGTATATTTGCAATGAAAAATAGTAGAAATAGCTTTTTATTAAACCTTGAATGCTGGTGCTTGAAAAAAGGCAAGTTTAAATAGAGGAGGATGAGGAGGGTAAATGGAGATTCTGAAGAGGACTTCTGGGCATCCCCCAGCTGCCACACAGACACCCCAGGTTCTGCACGGAGCACTCCAAGGAGTTGAGGGGCCAGCAGCTAGAGAAAAGCAGTGAATTCCCTTTCAGGGTGCCACTTCTCTCCAGCCACCAGCTGTGCAGCCATCCCCTGCTCCTCCGGCCAGCACTTGTGCCCCTCACGCCCACCTGCACCTCTCACCTGATCTCCTGGGGCTGCAGGCAAGCTTTTGGTTGTATGTGCGAATGTTCGTAAGTCAGATCGTTCTAACTCGGGGAGTGCATGTGTTGTGGTGGCAGTACAAAGATGTAACTAGAGATATAAAAAGATGGTTAAAAAGATAACCGGGGAACCACTAAAAATCTTAGCGGCTACACATGCTGCAGGCTCTGCTACATAAAGCTTATTTAAATAGTGTGTGTAACTGCTACTATTTTACAGCCACTGCAACAAGCATTCCTCAGGTTACCTGGTTACTCATTCATGTCCTTAGTTCTGATCCCGTTTTGAGTTACTGATTCTGTCCGTTAGCTTTCACCTGTATAAGTCAGGCATAGCTCCATTGAGTTCAGTGTAAAATTAATGTAAATGAGAGGAGAAAGAGACTCACTGGATTTAATTATCCCTGAGGGTATGTCTACACTAGTTCAAACTAGCGGGGTAATGTATGCATACCGCACTTGCTAATGAAGCCCGGGATTTGAATTTCCCGGGCTTCATTAGCATAAGCGGGGAGCCGC